CCGCTTGTCGGTCACCGTTCCAACGACGTTTAAGACGTAGTTTTGGAGGCATCAAAGCATCTTCTCTTTTTTCTTGAGCTCCTGATTCTCCCATAGAATCTCGAGATGATTTTTCTCCGTTGTTTTCTCCTTGTTCTTGTGATTCTTCAGTTGAGAAACCGGCTTGGCTGGGTGCCGGTAGGTTTGGGTGCCACGATGGTGCAGCTGGTCTGGCAAACACAGGCCCTTTCTCTTCTTCCAGGCTGGTTGCCACGCCAGAACTTTCCTCTCTTTCATTTTTGTCTTTGCCTTTTGTTGATGGTTCTTCAAGTTCTGCCTCTTTTTCCATAGTGGGTTCAACCTTAACCCTGGGAGGAAGAGGAGGAGGAGGAGTAGCCAGTTGAGGGGTCGCCGGTTCTTCAGTGCTTTCCAGTCTCTCTCTATTTTTCCTCCCCACGGGTGGTGGTTGTAGCTTGATGGGGAACTGAGGTTGTTCCTCCAGGGGCATTTGGCACTGTAGTGGTGGCACCATGAGAGGATAACGGGGGAAAGTCCTCGGACTCAGGTGATAGTTGAAAACAGAACAAGCTTGTGAATGCAGGTAGTGTTTCATTTCCTCGGGGTTAAAAGAGAAGCAGCTGCTACCTGTGAAAGGACTGAGACCAGGAGAAGGACTATAGGAAAAAAGAGTGGGAGTCAAGGATAACGCAGGAGAAATGGGAACGTTGAGGACCCCACCACGTCCTGGTAAAGGAGAAACAGCAAAAGGACTGTGAGGATCCGGGTAAATCCCGGGTCTGGTGAAAAGAGGGAGCATGATATCAGGTTTGCGTTTCTGATGGTTGACGTTACCGGCACCCACGTTGGCGTTCCGTGAAGCCATGAGATCAACGCCACGGCGCCAATCTGAGGAACCATCTTCCAGCTCTGGTATATCTGGTTTCCTCTCACCACCATCACCCAATGTTTCTGGGTTAGATGGAACTAAAGAAGCACCAGAAAATCGACTGGGTTGAGCATCTTCAGTTGGAGAGTGACTGTCCAATGGTGGGAAATGGAAACGGGATGAAGCCGTGGGGACGGGAGGAGCGCTCTGCGGCACGACACCTGGGGTAGGGAGAGAGGAGGGAGGGAATAAAACAGGGAGAAGAATACAGGAGAGGGTTAAGAGCACAGTCAGCAAGGAGTTAAATCACAGGTAAAAAGCTGATTTGGTTTTTTTTTTTCCAGGCTGTTCCCCGGGGGCGTTTGGAAAAGCAACACAAAAATACCACGAGATGAGATGAGATGAGATGATGGGTGGTGCTGTTCCCATCTGCTCCCTTCTCCCCTACACAGCTCCAGACTCCTCTGCCCACCTCAAACACTCACCACTGCTGGGGAGAAATCTTCTCTCTCCACTCCAGCTTGAGGTTTCCTCAATCTCCAAGTGCTACTGAAATCAACTTCCACTTTAGGACACCTTCCCTTGACCTTCTCCCTCTGGTTTAACCAGAAAACATCTTGAGGAGGAGGACAAGAGATGAGATGATGGGTGGTGCTGTTCCCATCTGCTCCCTTCTCCCCTACACAGCTCCACTCTCCTCTGCCCACCTCAAAACCTCACCACTGCTGGGGAGAAACCTTCTCTCTCCACTCCAGCTTGAGGTTCCTCAACTTGTCAGCAAGGATGCTGTGTGAGACAGTGTCAAATGCTTTGTTGAAATCAAGACAGACCACATCAACTGCAAATCTTCTCTCTCCACTCTAGATTGAGGTTTCCTGAATCTCCAAGTGCTACTGAAATCAACTTCCACTTTGGGACACCCTCCCTTGACCTTCTCCCTCTGGTTTAACCAGAAAA